TAAAATATGTAAATGTTTCTGTTCAGCGCCCTGAGACGACTTCTGTTGTCACGTGGAGCTACAGAAATAAACTGGATTGAAAAATGTGGGACTTTTGTTTTCATGAACTTCTGGGAACCCTGAGCTCGATGACGGACGGAGGAAGACCATGATCCTTAACGTTGGTGCGGTGCTGTGACGTCTCTAACATGAATGCACTAATGCTTCTGTTTCTGTGTGTCAGCCGGTGGCTGCAGGTTCTGGTATCCCAGAAATCAAAAGTTACTTGAACGGAGTGAAGATTCCTGGAATAGTTCGGCTGAGGACGTTCCTCTGCAAAGCTGCTGGGGTTCTGTTCAGCGTGGCCGGAGGTGAAGTACCATCTTCACTTTATCACATTTACTAACAAACGTGAACAGCTGAGCTCTCTGCTCATTTTGTTGTCTGTGTGTGGGCTCATCAGTTTGATGATTTCAGAGCATGTTGATTCAAACAGCACAAGTTTTTTGTAACACAACGTCTGGTCTTTATTTTCTCGGCTGTGGATCTTCTCCAGCTTCTTGTGTTGAGTGAAGCGTTTTCACGATTATAAAGCTGACTCCTGTCTGATGCATCGCTGACAATCATTAATGTTAATCTCTTTTTGTTGTGCACAAATCCTCCTGATTCTGCTGGGACACGAAGACTTCAGACCACTTTTGATCTTTTAACCCGATAATGAGGCGTGTGTCAGTTTGATGTTGAAGCTCACAGTCCGGATCCCTGTCCTGCTCCAGGTTGAGCTCTGGACACCTCTGACTCCATGTTTGTCCTCTCAGGTCTGTTTGTGGGGAAAGAAGGTCCGATGATACACAGCGGAGCCATTGTTGGAGCTGGCCTTCCTCAGGTACTGTGGTGCTTCGAGAATCTGATCATCTTAACACTTTATTGATCATCAACCAGCTTCTCACAAGTTCAGTTCAGTTTATTTCTAAAGCTCCAAGTCACAACAGAATCATCTCAGGGCCTGAACAGAAACATTCAAATATAAAATAATAATTGAACATTATTTATCTGAGGAGCAGCTTTGAGTTTAACTCCATCACTGAACTCTCATCTTGAACAAGCATGAAGGCGACAGTGGAAAGAAAAACTCCCTCATGAGGAAGAAACCTTTAGCAGAACCAGGCTCAGGACCAGAGGACCATCTGCTTCCACCGGCTGGGTTTGGTAGGAATAGATACACAATGGCAGGTCAAGAATCACATGTTAAGATAGAAATAGTATCAAATGAAACTATTCAATTTTAACAATTCATTTAAGGAGATGAGGTCAGTTTGTCCTCTAGTAGTCTAAGTCTATAGCAGCATAACAACCCTAACTATAGGATTTATCAAAAAGGAAAGTCTTCAAACTGGACAATGTGTCAGTCTCATGGACAGAAACTGGAAGTTGGTTCCACAAGAGAGGAGCCTGAGAACTGAAAGATCTTCCTCCCATTCTGCTGCTGGAAACTCTAGGAACCACAAGTAAACCTGCAGCCTGAGAGCAAAGTGCTCTGTTAGGAAAATATGGAACAATAAGGTCTGTAATATAAGATGGAGCTAGGTTGTTGAGAGCTTTGTAGGTTAGAAGTAAGATTTTGAATTCTATTCTGGATTTGACAGGGAGCCAATGGAGAGAAGCTAAAACTGGAGAGATATGATCTCTCCCAGTAACTCCAGTTAAGACTCTGGCAGCAGCATTTTGGATCAACTGAAGACGTTTTAAAGAAGTATTTGGACACCCAGATAATAAACCATTGCAATAGTCCAGTCTAGACGTGACAAATGCATGGACCAGTTTTTCTGCATCATCTTTAGATCAGATGTTTCTAATGTTAGTGATATTACGCAGGTGGAAGAAGGAGGTTCTAGTAACGTTTTTAATGTGGGGGATAAAAGACATGTCCTGATCAAAAATAACACCAAGATTTTTAACATTAGAGCTGGAGGACAGATTAATGCATCTAAGGAGGGAGAAAGACTGAAACATTCATTCCTAAGGTGCTCAGGTCCAAAACCAAAACCTCAGTCTTGTCTGTTCAACAGGAGAAAATTAAGGGTCATCCAGGTTTTTATGTCTTTAAGACATGCTTGTAGTCTAAGTAGCTGATTGGATTCATTGGGTTTAATGGACAAATATAA